AACACACAAACACAGAAGCAATTTTTTTAAAAATGATGAGCAAGTACCTAAGAGCCCGTAGAAAACTACGGATAGAAAGGGTGCTAATACCTTCCCTTTCTATAATCTACCCCCCGTACCTAAAATCTCGAAAAAGGAATTTTTTTGTGCTTTTTTCCTTTCCAGTTGGATAAAATAAAAGTCGGTGGCGACTCTTGTTTACCGCGACATTTTGCAAACACAAACGCAAAATGCAAACTAGCATTTTCCTAAAACAGTCTGGTTCTACCACCGTATCATAGTTACCTTTATGTATCTCAACACCCTCTTCACTGTGATGAGATGACATTCTCGAGGCTTCTCCATAAATCTGCTCAACAATCCTACACTTTGGCAGATATCTGGTCTAGTATTGCAAAGATACCTCAAGGATCCAATGATTTGTTTGTAAAGGGTCGAACTTACAAATTCATCATTCGATTCCTTTTTCAGCTTCGCTCCAGTCTCTAATGGAGTAACATTTGCCTTACAGTTGCTCATATTGAACCTCTTCAGTATATCTTGAGCATACTTCATTTGATGCAAGAAAACTCCTTCTTCGATGTCTTTGAATTCCATTCCCAGGAAATATGAGAGATTCCCTAAATCAGACATTTCAAATTCCTACATTAACTTTGACTTTACCTTCATTATCTCAGCTTCATCAGCTCCTGTAATGAGTAAGTCATCAACATAGAGACATAAAACGATTCGATTGACACTTTTGACATCATTTACATATACTCCATGTTCAGAGACACACTTTGTGAAACCTGCTTCGATTAGGAATCTATCTATCCTTTTATTCCAAGCTCTAGGAGCTTGCTTCAAGCCATAAAGAGCCTTCCTTAATCTGTAAACTTTCGACTCCTGCCCTTTGACGTTGAAACCTGGTGGTTGAGTAACGTAGACTTCTTATTCCAATGGACCATTTAAAAATGATGACTTTATATCAAGTTGGTGCGTTTTCCATCCTCTACATGCAGCCATCGAAACAATAATCCTGATTGTTTCGTTCCTTGCAACAGGTGTATATACTTCATCGAAGTCAATACCAGGTTTTTGTAGGAAACCTCTGGCCACCAGTCTTGCCTTATACTTTGCAATCTCACCATTTGGCCTTCGTTTCACCCTGTAGATCCATTTCACATCAATTGGTTTCTTGCTGGTTCTTTCGACAAGCTCCCAAGTCTTGTTCGTCTCAATGGCTCTAAGTTCTTATTTCATGGCTTCACACCAATTCGAATTGCTCAAGGCTTCACCCAAATCAATTGGTTCTGCTTCAGCAATCATCATGGCTTCTTCAATTAAGTCACCATCTGCATCGATTGCTTGATCTGGAAACCTCTCATATCCAATCAGCCTAGTCGACTCAGTTCTTATTCTTGCGGATCTTCTTTCATTTTGCACAGGTGGTTCTTCATTCCGACTTGTCGAAGCTTCATTCTGTTCATCTTCTTCGAACACAGTTGTGACTGTCTGATTCTTGTCGAACTAATTTTCGACTCCAATCCCATCCTTTGCTTTAGTCTACAAGAACATATCTACTGATCACTAGTTTATATTTGATTAGTGAATACAACTTGTATGCATCAGTCGAATGATAACCTATGAGTACCATGACTTCACTTCGATCATCCAGCTTCTTTCTTAATCATTCAGGTACATGCCTGAAACACATTGATCCAAAAACTCTAAGATGACTTACATTTGGATTTGACCCTGTCCAAGCCTCATGCGGTGTCTTTTCGACCATCTTCTTCATTGGGCATCTATTTAGAATGTATACTACTGTCAAAGTTGCTTCAGCCCAAAATCTCTTAGGCATATTCTTAGCTTTTAACATACATCTCGTCATGTTCAGTACACTTCTATTATTTCTCTCATCTATGCAATTATGTTGAGGCGTATAGGGTGCAGTAACCTCATGCTCTATACCTTCCTCTTTAAAAAATCTAGCAAATTCAGCAGAAGTATATTCATCACCACTATCAGTTCTTAACTTCTTCAATTTGCAGCCACTTTGTTTCTCAGCATGCAACTTGAACTTCTTAAACTGTGTGAATACCTAACTTTTCCTTTCAATAAGGTAGATCCACATATGTCTGGTGAATTCATCAATGAAAGTAAGAAAATACCCATTACCTCCATTAGACTTTACTTCAAAGGGTCCACAAACATATGAATGAACCAACTCTAGTTTTTGCCTTGATCTTATATGCAAGTCACATTTGAACGCCTTCCTTGCCTGTTTGGCTTTGCAAAATTCCTCACATATCTGCTTTGGTTCCTTCACATACGGCAACCCAAGCACCATTCTTTTCTTATTGAGCATACATAAACTCTTGAAGTTTAGATGTCCATACCTGTGATGCCATAGCCAGTTATTGTCTTCTTCTGTGGTTGAAGAAAGACATTTGTGATATGATGTGTTGAGTTCAACCTTGAACATTTTGTTCTCCGCCAATGGTGCTTTCATTAT